ACCGCCTCCGACGATCGAGCCGCCGCCGGAGGAGACCGGGAACCCGCTCAAGGACGGCCTGGCCCTCAAGGCCTGGGGGAAGGCGAACTCCATCACGCTGAAGGAATACAAGCGGCGACGAGAGGCGCCGGCCGCGCCCGCGGAACCGCCTCCTCCGAAGATCGAGCCGCCGCCCGCGGAGACCGGGAACCCGCTGAAAGACGGCCTCGCGCTCAAGGCCTGGGAGAAGGCGAACTCCATCACGCTGAAGGAATACAAGCGACGACAAGAGGCGCCGGCCGCGCCCGCGGAACCGCCTCCGACGATCGAGCCGCCGCCGGAGGAGACCGGGAACCCGCTCAAGGACGGCCTCGCGCTCAAGGCCTGGGAGAAGGCGAACTCGACTACGCTGAAGGAATACAAGCGACGACAGGAGGCGCCGACGTCCGTCGAGGCGGAGAGCCCCGGCAAGAAGTCCGTCGCGTTCGGAGGCGAGAGCCCCGGCAAGAGGTCGGTCAAGTTCGGCGGCGGCGGGGCGAGCCCCGGCCGGAGCCCCGGCAAGAGCCCCCGCAAGAGCGTGGCGGCGTCCATGCTGCGGGCCGCGCGCCAGTCCATCGGGAGCGCGTTCGCCTCGACGGCCGCGGCCGCGGCCGGCGCGTCGCCGCCGCCGCCGCGGCGCAAGTCGTCGCTCCTCGAGCGGACCGCGAGCCTGCTCCGGGGCAACGCGACGCCCGGCGGCGACCCGGGCGTCGACGGCGAGCTGCGGCGCGTGCTCGAGGACCAGCTCATGCCCGGCGACCAGATATCCGCGATGCTCGCGAGCCTGAGCCCGGACAAGAAGCGGCAGATGATCGCCATGCACACGGCCATGGCCTCGTTGGCGACGCCCTACGGCGCCGCCGACGAGGCCCTGCTGAAGCAGATCCGCGACGCGGACCTCGTGAGCCGCGACTACGCGAACGCGACGATCACGGGACGGGCGTTCCGCGACGCGGCGCAGTACCGGGGCGACGGCGGGCCCGACGCCGTCGTCGCCGCGCACCTGCAGACGCTCTACGCGGCCGCGCGCACGGCGAACCGGAGCTGGCTCGACGGGTTTGTCGGCGCGGGCGGCGTGGAACTGCTGACGGGCGTCGCGCGGCGGCGGCTCGAGCGGGACGTCGTCTCGGCGGCGGACGCGGCCGTGGCCGCGGCGGCGCTGCGCATCTTCCGGGCCATGGTGAACACGGCCGCGGGGCTCGGGGCGCTCGTGGCGACGGCGGGCTGCCTGGACGCGCTCGCGTCGTGCCTCGTGTCCGGCTGTGCCGAAACCAAATCTTCAACCCGACTTCAATGTGAGCGTATTCGAATGTTTTGACACAAGCTCTTCAGCTGGGCTTCGAGAACTCGACGAGAGCGATCGATCCGTCCAAAAATCAGCCGAATCGACGTCGATGTGACCGAGCTAGAGAATTCTCAAGTTTGGTCAGGACCACCCAAACCAGTGGTTGGTTTCGGCACAGGTGTCCGGCGGGCGGCCGCTCGCGAACACGGGCCTGAGGCCCGCGGCGCTGGAGATCCTGAGCGTCGTCGCCTGGGCGTCCGACGACGCGCCGCCCTGCCTCGTCGACGCGCTGTGCCGCCGGTCCGCGCTGCTCTGCGAGCGGCCCTTCGAGTGGGCGCGGCGCGCGCTCGCGTGCGGGTCCTTGGCGACGCGGAGCTACGCGATGACGCTCTGCAACCAGCTCGTCATGCGCACGGCGGACCGGCGGAGCCGGCGGGCGTTGCGCGACGCCATGAGACGCGCGGGCGTCGAGGACGCGGCGGCGAAGGCGCTGGACCGCGCCGCGGCCGCGTTCGGCGGCGACGAGAGCGGCGACGACGACGGCTACGACGAGGACCTCGCGGGCTGGCTGCCGCTGGACGCGGCGGGCGGCGTCGAGCCGCTCAAGGGCCGCATGCGCGGCGAGCTGCGGGCGACGAAGCGGCTCGACGCGGCGCGCGCGGCGCTCCTCGCGCTGTTGGGCTCGGACCGCGGCGTGAAGTCGCGGTCCTACTGTCTCGACGCGGGCCTGCTGACCTGGGAGGGCGGCCGGACCGTCGACGAGTCCAAGTTCGTGCGCATCGACGACGTCCAGGCCGTGCGCTCCTGCAGCGACAACGCGGGCATCAACGCGGTCGGGCGGCGGGCGCGCCGCCGGGCTCGCCGGCGCGGCGGCGGAAGCGGCGCAAGTCCGCGCTGTCGGCCGAGGAGCGGACGGCCGCGCACGGAGCCCTGAAGAAGCAGGTCGACATCTTCTTCGCCGTCAAGGACGCCGACGCGGGCGACGAGGACGTGAAGAACGACGTGCTGGACGCGCTGCTCAAGCTGCCCGGCGACCAGTGGCGCGGCGCGCTCGCGAACATCCAGGCCTACGAGGGGCCCGACGCCGACGGCGCGCCGCGGAGCCCCCGGAGCCCCGTCGTCGCGACGGCCGTCGTCGACACGCTCGACGCGGCGTCGCAGACGGATCCCGTGGCAATCGGGGGCGCAGCGCCCGCGGCGGCGGCGCCCGCGGCGGCGGCGCCCGCAGCGCCCGCGGCGACGCCCGCGGCCGGCGGCGGCGGCGGCGAAGCGTCGGGCCCGCCCGTCGGAGAGGACCCGAAATACAAAAAATACTTCAAGATGCTGGCGATGCATCTCCCGCGCGGCGCCGTGGAGCAGAAAATGGTGGCCGAGGGCGTCGACGTGAAGATCTTGGACCTCGATCCCACGAAGCCCATGCCCGGAGCCGGCGGCGAGGCGTCGGGTCCGCCCGTCGGAGAAGATCCAAAGTACAAAAAATACTTCAAGATGCTCGCGATGCATCTCCCGCGCGGCGCCGTGGAGCAGAAGATGATGGCCGAGGGCGTCGACGTGAAGATCTTGGACCTCGATCCCACGAAACCCATGCCCGGAGCCGGCGGCGGCGAGGCGGCGGGTCCGCCCGTCGGAGAGGACCCGAAATACAAAAAATACTTCAAGATGCTCGCCATGCATCTCCCGCGCGGCGCCGTGGAGCAGAAGATGATGGCCGAGGGCGTCGACGTGAAGATCTTGGACCTCGATCCCACGAAACCCATGCCCGGAGCCGGCGGCGGCGAGCCGAGCGGCCCGCCGGTCGGCGACGACCCGCGCTATAAAAAATACTTCAAGATGCTGGCGATGCATCTCCCGCGCGGCGCCGTCGAGCAGAAGATGATCGCCGAGGGTATGGACCCGAAGATCCTGGACCTCGACCCGACGACGCCCGCGCCCGCGGCCGCGGCGCCCTCGGGCCCGCCCGTCGGAGAAGATCCCAAATACGCGAAATACTTCAAGATGCTCAAGATGCACCTGCCCCGCGGCGCCGTCGAGCAGAAGATGATCGCCGAGGGCATGGACCCGAAGATCCTGGACCTCGACCCGACGAAGCCCGCGCCCGCGGCCGCGGCGCCCTCGGGCCCGCCCGTCGGAGAAGATCCCAAATACGCGAAATACTTCAAGATGCTCAAGATGCACCTGCCCCGCGGCGCCGTCGAGCAGAAGATGATCGCCGAGGGTATGGACCCGAAGATCCTGGACCTCGACCCGACGAAGCCCGCGCCCGCGCCCGCGGCGCCCTCGGGCCCGCCCGTCGGAGAAGATCCCAAATACGCGAAATACTTCAAGATGCTCAAGATGCACCTGCCCCGCGGCGCCGTCGAGCAGAAGATGATCGCCGAGGGCATGGACCCGAAGGTCCTGGACCTCGACCCGACGAAGCCCGCGCCCGCGGCCGCCGCCGGAGGCGGCGCGAAGAGCGTCGTGAAACGGGGCCTCGCGGCGAAGAAGGCCGCGCGGAAGCTCAAGCTCAAGGCCCTCTTCTGGACGAAGCTCGGCGGCGACGACGCGGCGGGCACGGTCTGGGGCGACTTCCCGAAGGAGGCGGCGACGGGCGCGCCGACCGTCGCGGCCATCGAGCGCCTGTTCGGGAAGAAGCCCGCGGAGAAGAAAGAAACCGCCGGCGAGGAGAAGAAGAGCAAGGGCGTCCAGCTCGTCGACGGCAAGCGGAACCAGAACGTGCTCATCGGCCTCGGCCGCGTGAAGCTGAGCCACGCGGGCATCCGCGACGCGATCGTCGGTTTAGATTTCACAGCGTTGCCGCAGCTCGAGACCGCGGGCGGCGTCGAGGTGTTCCTGACGCTCGTGCCGGAGCCCGAGGAGGTCGCCGAGGTCGGGCGCTACATCCAGGGCTTCGGGGACAAGGCCGCGGCGCTCGCGTCCCTCGCGCCCGTGGAGCACTTCTTCGCGGTCGTCGGCGCGGCCCCGCGGCTCCGACCCCGCTTGGCCGCGCTCCTGGACTTGTGGCGCTTCGAGGAGGCCTGCGACGCCGTCGCGGCCAAGGTCGCCGCCGTCGCCGCCGGCGCCAAGCAGATGCGGGCCGCCGGCGACGCGAAGAGCCGGCTCTGCGCGGCGCTCCGGGTCGCGGTGGCCGTCGGCAACGTGCTCAACCGCGACACCGCGCGCGGCGACGCGCGGGGCTTCCGGCCGGACATGCTGCCGAAGCTGGCGACGATCAAATGCAACGACCCGAAGGACGGCACGCTCGTCGACGTCATCACGAACGCGCTCGACGAGGCGTCGGTCGTCGGTCTCGAGAGGGACCTCGACGCGGTGCCGTCCGCCGCGGCCGTCGACGGCAAGGAGCTCGACGGCGACCTCAAGGCCCTCGAGAAGACGCTGAGCAAGAGCATCGAGGTCGAGCTCAAGGCCGCCGAGGCGGCGAGCGACGCGGGCGCGAAGCCCTTCGCGAAACTCGTGAAGCCGCTCGGCGCGGCCGCGCGAAAACGGTGCGACGCGACGGCCGCGGATCTGGCCAAGGCCGTCGCGGCGTCGAAGGCCGCCATGGCCCGCTTCGGCGCCGTCCCGCCCGCCGACGGCGCGGACCCGTCGAAGGCGTTCTACGCGAACTTCCGAGACTTCGCCGCGGACGTCAACGCCGCGCACCTCCGCGCCGTGTCGCGGCGCGAGAAGGCGGCCAAGGACGAGGCCAAGGCCGCCGCGAAGCGCGACCGCGCGGCGAAGAAGGGCGGCGCGCCGAGCCCGCCGGCGTCGCCGGCGGGCGGCGACCTCCAGGCGGACCTCCGGAACGCGCTCAGGGCGCCGCGCCTCAGGAAGGCGAAGCCCCGGCCGCCGCCGGGCGCCGGCGCGAAGCCCACCTGGCAGCAGAAGGCGACGGCGTCCGCCGCGCCCAAGGACGACATCCTCGCCGCCTTCAAGCAGCGCCAGGACATGTCCGCCGCGGACATCGTCAAGGACTGGGTGCGGTAACAGCGGTCGTGGTGTTGTTGTTTTTTTTGGGATCTGGTGGTCCCTTCTACTCGGGAATAGCCGTCCTTGCCACCTCGACGGGCTCCAGACACACCTGACAAAGGCGTCGAGGAGGCCTCTAAAATGGCGAGCGTCCGTTGGTGCAAATAGATTGCAAATCGATCAAATCGCGAAAAACTCGAGAACTCGCGCCCGCGAACGCCCACGTCGTCGCTCCAAACGATGCGCGCCGTGAATCTGCTCTGCGTCGCCGCCGTGGCCTCGGCCGCCTCGTGGGACGAGGCGAAGTGCGTGATGGAGGGCAAGTCGATAGCCTTCATGGGCGACTCAATCTCGAGGAACTGCTTCTACGTTTTCAACAAGTTCCTGGACACGGGCGAGATGTACGACATCGACGGCGATTACGAGAAAATGGGCGAGGACGGCGCGGCGACCGGCGTCCGCGAAATCGTCCGCGCGCGCGACCCGAGCCGCGACCGCGCGCGCAGGCGACTACGACGACGACAGCGAGTGGACGGATTGGGAGCGCTTCAGCTTCGTCAAGGAAAGCCACCGCTGCTACTTCAAGAAGGAGTTCGACGACATCGACGCGACGAGCGAGTTCTGGTTCCTCCAGAAGGCCTGGTCCGACCGGAGCGACACGGACGGCGAGCAATCCGTCGCGGACATCGCCGGCGACGTCGCCAAGGCCGACATCGCCGTGATCAACAGCGGATGGTGGGACCTCAAGGAGGACGACGACGCGGACCGCTACTGCGGCGACGACTTCGGCAAGGACGACTGCGAGAAGGACTACAAGGCGTCCCTGGAGAAGCTCGTCGACAACATCCTCTCGAAGGTCGACGTGCCGCTCTTCCGCGAGACCTCGTGCTGCGGCGAGGACGACGGCGAGAAGTGGATCGACGCCATCGAGGACGCGAACGACGCCGCCAAAGAAGTCATGGGCGCCGCGGGCGTCGGCGTCGTGGAGATCTACGACAACTACGACTCCAAGGACATCGACGACCACACGACGGACGGCAAACACCCGGACCCCGACGCGTGCCGCCGCTGGTTCGACGAAATCCTCCCCATGATCGACGCCAAGCAGGGTTCGGGCTGCTTCGGCGCGACGACGACGACGGCGGCGACGTCGGCCCCGAACTGCCCCGCGCTCACGAAAAAGGCTTGCAAGAAGAAGAAGAAGAAGGCTTACTGCAAGTGGAAGTCCAAAGCGTGCCAGACCAAGTCATGCGCGTCTTTCTCCACCAAGAAGAAGTGCAAGAAGAACGCGTCGTGCCGCTGGCGGAAGAAGGCCGAGAAGTGCAAGTCCAAAGCCTAGATGGCTCCTAAGCCGACCCGCCGTCGGTTGTGCGACCCTCAACTACTGTAGCACAAGGTCCAAGAGCTCCTGAGCCGGCTGACCGTAGCAGCTATCGATGCCTAACCCGCCTAAGACATGGCTACCTTGGAGATCACCATTCTAACGTTGCTCGTACTAGTACATCCCTCGCACGCGCGGGTCCAAGCGGGTGCGGCGTGCTTCGCGGAGGCTTCGCTGGGTCTCGCTGCGGGCGTCGCGACGCGGGGGCGCGGCGGCGGTCTCGGGGGACGCGGTGGCGCCGAAGGTGAAGGGCGTCGCGGGCGGGGGCGCGGCGGGCACCGCTGCCGCGGCGGCGCCATCGAAGGTGAAGGGCGTGGCGTCTCGCCGCGCGAAGAGGATGCGCGCCGCCTCTTCGGGACCGATGCCCATCACGCGAAGGTAATCGTCCTCGAGCGCAGCGAAGGCGCTGTCATCGATCTCGTGCTCGCGGAAGAGGGGCAGCAAGTCCGCCAGGCCCAGGCGCGCGAGGACCTCGACGACCGCGGCGTCGCCGATGAAGGCCGGACCGGCGGGCGTCGCGGCGGCGCCGAAGGTGAAGGTGGGCGCGGCGAGCGTCGCGGCGGACGTCGCGGCGGGAGCGGCGGGCGCCGCGAAGGGGGTCGTGGTGCTCAAATTGTCGCAGACGAGCTTGTAACTGACGCGCGCGAGTCCGCGGTCGGCCTTTTCGTGACCCTTGGCGGCCGCGCGCGCGTACCAGCGCTTGGCTTCCTCGAAGTCGGCTTCGACATCTTCGTACTTCTCGCCAAGGTCGTATTCAGCACCGGTGAGGCCTTGGTCGGCGGCTAGCTTGACGTACCGCAGTTTTTCGGAACGTGTGAGGTCGTCACAGACGATTGCAGAAAGGTGCTGAGCATGCGGGTGGCCTCTATCCGCCGCCATTCGATAGAGTTGATTCGCCTTCTTCGGGTCCTTTTTGACGCCGTTCCCGTCATCATACAAGCCACCGAGAGCCAACATCGCCCCATCGTCCCCGAGCTCCACGCCGCGCTTGTAGAGCTTCGCCGCCTTCTTCGCGGACTTGACAAAGCCATACAGATCCCCTTTGCGGTACGCATTACCCAAATGAAAGATCGCCTCCGGCACGTCATTATCCGCGTGGCGACGAAGCGCTGCCAGTTCCTTTTTTTCGTCGAGCACAGGGCTTGCTTGACAGATAGGGCACGGCGCGAGTCGAGTCCTTTCATCGCACGAATCGCAGAACTGCCGGCAGCAGCAGACGCGCAGGGTAACCGATACATTCACGTCCCAGTCCTCGTAGCAGACCGGGCACCGCGATCCATGCCGCCCCCGTTTCGGCTCCGGGTTCGCCTCGCGCCGCGCGCGAGCTGCCTCGTGCTCCGCGGCGATGCGCGCGCGGACCTCATCCGCGCGCGACCGCGGCGCGGGGCCGTAGACCACCTCCTCCGGCGGCTGCGGGGGCGTCGGCGCCTCGGCCCGCGCCGCCTCCGCCGCGCGCTCGCCCCGGATCTGCTTGCACGCCTTGCGGTGGCCCCGGTCGCGCCAATCGATGCGTTGGCACTCCGTCGAGCAGTACCTGCGAGTCGCGCGTCACGGCGCGCCGGGACGCGTTCGCGCAGGCGCCGGGCGCGCACTGTGCCGTCCCGCAGGGACAGTTCAGCTTCGCTTTGCCGCCGCAAATGGTACAGGTCAGCCGTAATTTCAAAGCCTTGGCCCGGGCCTTCTTGATTTCGTACTCTTTTTGTTTCTTCTGCCACTCCATCTCCACCGCTTCTTCCCGCACGTCTCCTGAAGGCGTCGCGTCGCCCCGGGCGTCTCCAGATTTCATCGTCATTCCGCCGTGCGCGTCCAAAGTGCGCGCGCGATTTTGATCTCGGTCGATTCACCACAGCCCGGTGGTGGCGTACGGCCTCGCGCAACGCGCCGCCCTGCCTGCGGGCGCAGGCGTCGCGCCCAAATCACCTTACTAGCCACTCCTCACCGCCCCGCCAGGGCCCAGCGCTCGAGCCGCCCGAGGGCGTGGGGCCGCGGGAGGTCGTCGTCGCGCGCGAGGCCGAGCGCGTCGGCGCCGACGTAGTCGTGGGGCGCCGCCGCGAGGCCGCGCTCGGGCCCCGACGAGTCCGACGACGAGCGGCGGCGGCCGAGCTTGTAGGCGTCGGCGACCTCCCGGGCCGTCGGCCGCGCGGACGGCCGGAGGCGGACGCAGGACCGCACGAGGCGCGCCGTCGGCGCGTCGACCAAGGGCGGCAGCGCGAGGGCCAGCGACCCCGCGGCGATGGCCCGCGACAGCTCCGCGGGGCTCTCGCCGTCCGCGACGACGCCGGACGCGACCAGCGCCGCGATGGGCGCGGCGAAGAGCGCCTTCACGTCCCCGCGCGGCGCCGCGAACAACGCCGCCAGCGTGACGCCGAAGGAGTAGACGTCGACGGCGGACCCGAAGGCGCGGTCGTCGACGAGCTCCGGCGCGACGTAGTAGACGCTGCCGACGACGGACGACGACGGCCCGCGGCGCCGGCAGGGGCCGCCGCGGTCCGCGGCGCCGCCTAAAACGACCGCGGACCCGAAGTCGCTGAGCTTCAGCGACCCGTCGAGCGCGACGAGGAAGTTCGACGGCTTCACGTCGCGGTGGACGACGCGGCGGAGGGCGAGGTGCGCCAGCGCCTCGGCGCCGTCCTCCGCGAAGCGCGGCGCCGCGGCCGCGTCGACGGCGCCGTTCCGCAGCGCGTCCCGCAGGGAGATGGACGCGCGCTCGAGGAGCAGCACCGTCGACGCGCGGAAGAGCAGGGTTCGCTGCTCCGCGACGCCGAGGAGCCCGAGCACGTTGTCGTGGACGCCGAGGCGCGCCATGATCCTCGCCTCGTTGTCTGCGCGCGGCTTCCGCCCGCGCCGCTCGCGCTTCGCGGCGCAGGCGACCGCGCCCCCCGCGAGGCGCACGGTCGCGCTCGCGACGACGCCGAAGCCGCCGCGGCCGAGTTCTTCGCCGAGGACGACGTCCTTCATGTCGAAGCGCCTCGGCGCCTCGTCGTTCCGCGGTAGGAGCGCGAGGTCGTCGTCGCCGAGGCCGCCGGCCTCGACGTCCTCGACGACCCTCGCGCGCTTCCGCCGGCGGCCGAGCAGCGCCGCGGCCGCGACGAGCGCCACGGCGGCGCCCGCGGCGACGGACGCGCCCGCGGCGGCCGCCGCCGGCCGCCGGCCCTCGGGCTCGCGCGGCGCCAGGCGCCGCGCGACCGCGGCGACGTCGTCGGCGCCCGCGGCGCCCGTGTTCCACTCGAAGACGCAGCCGCTCAGCGACATGGAGCCGCCGGCCGTCGCGACGGCGCCGCCGCCGCCCCTGGCCGCGTTGCCCGAGAACGTGCTGTTCGTCGCCGTGATCGCGGCGTCGTCGCCCTCGGAGAGCAGCGCGCCGCCCGCGCCGGCCGTCGCGCAGCGTTTTATGGTCGTGTTCCACACGCGCAGCGCGCCAGCGCTCCGGACGCAGCCGCCGCCCTCCTCGTCCGCGCTGCCGTCGCGGAGGACGAGGCCCTCGAGCGACAGGCTCGCGCCGCCTTCGACCTCGAAGAGCCGCGTGCGGCCGTCGCCGCTGAGCACGACCTTGGACCCGCGCCGCGGACGACGACGTTGCGCCCGCGCTCGATGCGCAGCGGCCGCTCGAGGACGAGCGCGTCCGTTGCGACGGTCACCGCGAGCTCCGCGCCGGGCGTCGCCGGCGCCGCCGATATCGAGTCCTCGAGCTCCTCGACGGTCGAGATCGTCGCGCGCAGTACGACGACGCTCCGGCGCGTCGGCGCGCGCGTCGTCGGCTGCGCCGACGGCGCGTCGGTCCCCGGGCGCGACGGCGCGTCGGTCCACGGGCGCGACGGCGCGGCCGTCGCCGAGCTCGGCGGGGGCGTGGGCTTCTGGGTCTGCTTGGTGCGCGACGGCGCGGCCGTCGGTCGGGACCCGCGCGCGTGCCGCTGCTGCGTCGCCGCGGCGGCGAGGCCGAGCGCGAGGCACCAGGCCGCCGCCCGGGCCATCGTGGCGGAAGCTTCGGAGAGGCTGCCCCGACCAGCGGAATTTAACCAAGGCCGCACCTTGAGGGAAACGAATCTTAGATAGATCTTAACCCCCAAGCAAAGCAAGCGCTGCCCAGCTCCCAAGCGTGCGGAGAGCGTCGTCGGCGTCGTCCGGGCCGCGCCGATCCAGCGGACGGGAGTCGCCCGGGCCGCTCGGAGTCGGCCGCGCACGGCCCGGATCCGCGTCGGCGCCCGCGGTCCGCCTGCTCGCCTCCTCGCCGGCAGCCGCTCCGCCTCCCTCCGGCGACGCCGCTCTCCTCGCGTCGCGTCCTCGCGCCCTTGGCGTGGGCCATGCGCCGACCCCGGAGCCGCGGCGTGCGGTAGTCGTCCCCTCGTCACCGCCGGCGGGCCTCGGGCTGCGCGGCCGGCGACCCGCGCGCGCGCCGCCGCGGCCGCGGCCCGCGCGGCCGCGGCCCGAACTAGAGGCTCGGCGCCATGGGCAACGCCGTCATGAGCCGCTTCAAGGGCGACGCCTACCGCCAGGTCAAGGTCGAGGCCGTGAAGCAGCAGCTCGAGGAGAAGTTCAAGGGCCCGACGAAGAGCCGGCCGAGCGAGCGCCTCGCGTTCTACGGCCGACCCAAGCTCCACAAGGAGCAGATCACGGAGCTCGAGCACCTCGACTGGTTCGACTTCCTCATGCACACGGAGCTCTGCACCATGAACTACGACGCGCTGACGATCACGGACGACATGCGCTTCGACCACATGGTCCGGATGATGGAGAATTTGAAGGTGCCGCAGACGTTAAAAAAACCGGCGAAGGAGCTGCTCGCGTTCATCTTCGACGTCCACGAGCTCATGCACGACAACCCCTACCACAACTTTAGCCACGTGACGGACGTGACGCAGTATTTGTACACGCTGCTCCTCGCGACGCACCTCGCGAAGCGGCTCCGGCCCATCGAGCTCGCGGCCGCGTTCATCGCGGCCGTCTGCCACGATCTGGACCACCCGGGCCTGTCGAACACGTTCCAGTGCAAGGCGCGGACGCCCCTGGCCGTCCGCTGGGACGACGAGTCGCCGCTCGAGAACCACCATTTGTGGTGCTCGCGGAAGCTCGTGACGAAGCACGACCTGCTCGGCGGCGTCGCGGACGAGCGGGACCGCGCGCGGTTCCTCGGCGTCGTGCGCGCCATGATCCTGTCGACGGACATGGCGAAGCACACGAAGCTCATGGCGCGCATCGAGGGCGGTTTGGCCGAGGACGGCTTCAACCCGCTGACGACGGAGGACGGCACGAACCTCATGCTCCAGATCGCGCTCAAGTGCGCGGACATCTCGAACCAGGCGCGGCCCTGGAAGGTCGCGAACCAGTGGAACGAGGCGGTCTACAGCGAGTTCTACCACGAGGGCGACCTGGACGCGGCCGCGGGCCGCGACGTCCAGCCGCTGCAGAACCGGAAGACGAACAGGATCCCCAACTCGACGGCGGGCTTCATCCAGTTCATCGTCGCGCCCCTCTACGAGGCCTTCGTGTCCATCATGAAGCGCTGCAGCTCCATGGAGGCGGAGATCGACTCGTCGGCCGTCGAGGAGTGCCTCGTCTTCCTCAACAAAAACAAGGCGCGGTACCAGAAGCAGATGAACGGCGAGTACGTCGCGCCGGACGAGATCGAGGACGAGCTCCAGGGCTTCGCCGAGGACCTGAGGCACTCCATCGGCGAGGGCCAGCGGAGCGAGGCCGCGCTGCCGGGCTGCGTCGGACGCGTCAAGGTCGCGACGACGCTCGAGCGGTGCGCCGTCGTCCTCAAGGGCAAGGGCGCGCGCGTCGGCGACCCGGCCTTCGACGACCTCGAGGACGTCGCCGTCAACGGCGACGGCGTCGAGACCATCGCCATGGCCTCCTAGCGCCGCGCCCGCTTCTGTTCCTGTTGTCGTCGCCGCCCCTCGCGTCCGCCACTCGCCTCCCCCCTCTTCCCCCCAGAAATACCACCTATCGCCCCCCGCCCCGCGCCTCGCCGCCCCAAGCGGCCCCGCGTTAGGGTCTAGTCTTCTTCGAGATCGGCCTTCTGGACTGCACGGTGCAGTGCTCCTTGAAGCCGCGGTGAAGCTCGACTCCTGTTGGTGACGCGTCGCGCGGCACTGCGCGCCGACGAGCGGCTGCGGCAGCAACGGCTGGCATCGATGCGCCTGGTCGCAGTCATGGTCGCATCCGTCGCAGCGCTGCAGCCTCCCAAGGCTTTGCAGGCCATCCTCTTCGACATCGATGGGACGCTCTTTGACTCTGACCCCGTGCACCTGCGCGCGTTCCAAAAAATCCTCGTGGAAGAGGGTTTCAACGGAGGCGTCGAGATCGACGAGGCGTTCTTCATGAAGACGATCAGCGGCCGGCAGAACAAGCTCATCTGCCGGGACATCTTCCCGGAGTGGGACGAGGCGCGCTCCGAGGCGTTCTCCGCGCGCAAGGAGCAGATGTTCCGCGACATGAGCAAAGGCAGCCTCGTGCCCATCGACGGCTTGATCGATTTCATGGGCGAGATCGACCGCCGCGGCCTCCGCAAGGCCGCGGTGACGAACGCGCCGCGGCTCAACGCCGAGTCGATGCTCGACGGCATCGAGCGGCGCGAGTGGTTCGACGCGCTCGTCATCGGCGACGAGTGCGTCCGCGCGAAGCCCGACCCGGAGCCGTACTTGGTGGCCGCCCGAGAGCTCGGCGTCGACGTCGCGCAGTGCGTCGTCGTCGAGGACTCGCCGTCCGGCGCGTCGGCGGGCGCGGCCGCGGGCGCCTTCGTCGTGGGGATGTTGTCTTCGCAGACGCCCGAGGCCCTTACCGCGGCGGGCTGCGCCGCGCTCGTCCGCGACTACCGCGAGCTCGGCGCGCTGCTCGCGCTCGAGCCGGCAGGCCAGGCCTCGTAAGACTCCGTGATCTCCGGACCCACCCGCCTGCGGACAACGATCTCTTTCGCGCGCTCGTAGAGGGCGCTCGGGCGCTGTCAAGGCGCCCGCAGGTGACGACGTCGACCCCCCCGGCGCGGCGGCCTGGGAGAGCACGAGACCATTCTGCAGAATCTGGAAGGCCTTGCAGAGCAGGCTGGGTCCAAGGCGCAGGCACCCCTGCCGCTGCCCCCTGCGAGTCCAGCTTTGGCGTCGCCGCTCCCCGTGAAGCGTCACCTGTTGCGCGAGAAGCACGCGAGCAAAAAAAGTGCGCCCATGGCGCCCTCGAAGAAGCGCTACCGCGTCGATCTTGGGGAAGAACACGGCGGCAAGAAGATCATGGTCTCCCTCAACAGCGAAGGGACCGTGGCCGACCTGGAGATGAAGATCGTCGAGCACGTCGCCGCGAGCGGGCCGTCCGTGATCTCACACCTCGCGTCCGATGGGTGCGTCGCACCGCGCGACGAGCTCGCGTCCGACGTGCTCTGCGTCGAAGAAGGTGAACTGGCGACGGTCGTCTGGGCCCCCGCGGGCGACGCGCCCGCGGCGGCTCCCGCGCCGCCGGCTCCCGCGGCCGCGGCGGCTCCCGCGCCGCCGGCTCCCGCGCCGCCGGCGCCGCGCGGCGCGCCCGGCGCCGAGCCGGAGCCGGAGCGCGAGGCGGAAGCGTCCGGCGGAAGCGTCGCCTTCCGCGTCTACGCGATCGCTCCGCCGGGCCAGCACCTCTGCGACGTGGCGCTGAGCGCGACGTCCACCATGCGCGAGCTGCGCGCGTCGATCCGCCAGGCGCTCCGCGGGCCGCTCGGCGGAAGCGCGGGGGATCTCGAGCTCCATCTCGCCGCGCACAGCCTCGGGACGGGCGGCGAGGGCGACGCGCTGTCCCTCGACGCCTGGGGCCTCGTCAACGAGGGCCTGGACCGGACGGAGTGGGCGGTCTGGGCGCACGCGCATCACAGCGGCGACCACGTCGAGATCGAAGAAGAATGGCGCGACGGCCTTCCGTGGCATCCCCGTCCGGACGGGCAATTCACGCGTCTCGCGATCCAGACGCGCCGCGGGCGCGCGGCGCTGCTCTCCACGCTCCGCGTGGTCTGCATGCGCCGCGACGAGGGCCTCTTCGAGCGCTTCGCGGAGAACCTCGCGGAGCTCACGTGCTGCCCGCCCGCGGTGCTCGCCGCGTACACGCTCCACAAGCGCGCGGCCGTCTCCGGGGCGCAGACCCGCTGCCTCGCCACCGCGCTCTTCTCCCTCGCGCGCTCGCTCCTGCCCGAGAGCGTCAAGGATGCCGAGGTCTTCGAGCACGCGACCGAACTCGTCGCGATGCTCGCGACGCGAGATCCGACCCGCTCCCCAGCCGCGCGCGTCCAGTCCCAGTGGCCCGACCACCTGTGCAGCCTGTCCTACGAGCCTCTCCAAGACCCCGTCGTCATCGAAGTCGAGGGCGAGGAGGTCTACGCGTCGCGCGCGGCCGTCGCGAAGCGCCTCCCGGGCGGCCCGGACTACGAAGAGGGCACCTTCGACGACGTCGCGGACGCCGCGGCGCTCCCGCGCGCGCCGCCGCTCCAGCGGCGCCTCGCCCTCTTGGGCTCCGACGTCTCGTGGATCCACCTCGTCAACTGCGAAGCGCCGGCCTTCGAGGGCGCCAAGGCCGCGCGCGGCTGGCTCGCTTCCGTCTGGGACGTGTCGAAGCCGGCCTTCGTCCTGAAGCGATCCGCGGAGAAGCTGGTCACGCTGCCGACGCTCTGCCTCCAGAAGAACGCCTTCGACGCGCCGCGCCTCTGCGTCGACGAAGAGCGCCTGCCCGCGGTCTTCTTGGGCACCGTGCCGTGCGGGAGCGGCCTGCAGATGTTCCGGCCGCATTCCGGCAAGTGCGACTTCGATCCCCACGAGCTCGCGAAGAAGCTCGGCGATACGGCGACGTCGGCCGCGGCGTCGACGTCCGCGCGGCCTCCCAAGGAGATGATCGTATGCTGCATCGACACGTCGAACTCGATGAGCAACGCGCGGTTTAAGGCGGCGGCGCCGGCCGCGGACTCGGGGCGCATCGAGCGGCCGGCGCCCCGCGCGGACGACGTCGTCGCGACGCTCCACCGCTTCCGGCGCTCGCGCCCCTTCTGCTTCGGCGTCCTGCGGTCGCGTTTCCTCGCCGGCGGCCATTCGCTGCGCATCGCGCTCCGCGTGCTCGCGCGCCGATACCCGGAGCTCGAGGGCCACGCCTCCGGCGAGGGCGCCACGGCGAAGCTGATCCGCGAGGCGATCTCCGTCGAGCGCGCGGACGACGCGACGGCGGAGCGCCTGCTCGACGCCTCGGAGCGCGAGGCCGCCGGGCCCGACATCGACCTCTTCGTCAAGCTCTGCTACGGCGGCGACCGGACGGTGACGATCACGGTCCCCTCGGGCGCGCGGGTGTCCGCCGTCATCGACGCGCTCTGCGCGAAAGCGGGCGACTGGACGATCTGGGAGACCTACCGCCTCGCCTTCGGCTCCAAGATCCTCGACGTCGACGACCGCCTCGACGCGGCCGGCGTGACGCGCGAGTCGACGCTGTTCCAGCGCGCCTGGGGCCGAAACGTCCACGCTCCGCCGAGCCACGACGCGGACGTCGAGGTCGTCTTGACGCTAACCGTGGGGAACGTGGGCCAGAGCGACGTCGCGGGCACGGCGCGCGTGCGACGCGGCGACACGGCCGAAGTGCTCGCGTACAAGATCTGGAGCCAGGTGGGCCATTCTTATTCTCCCGACCACTCCTACTGGTACAATATGGAGCACTGCGGCGACGGCTTCGAGACGGGGAGAATCCTCTACGAGGGGGAGGCCCCGTTGCTGCCCGGCGAACGAATCCGCTGCGTCGGCGACGAGCTCGACGAATTGAAGGGAAACCGCGTCTGGCTTCGGTCGGGCCGGGAGACGTCGACGCAGGCATCCCGGAGCCAGTCGCGCCTGACCGTCACGAAGCAGCTCTTCGGCGCCTTCCTCGACCGCACGCAGGCCCACGACCTGCCCCACGAGCTGGCCCTCGTGAGCTTCGACTCCGCGGTGACGGTGCGCTGCGAGCTGACGCACCTCTACGAGAAGTTCCGCGACAAGGTCAACGCGCTGGGCACGACCGGCGACACGGCGTGCTACGACGCCATCGCCCAGGCGGTGGCCATGATCGTCGCGCGGCGCGAGGCCATCGCCGGCCCGGCGCCGGCGGCGCGCATCGTCGTCTTCACGGACGGCGAGGACACCAAGTCCCGGGCGAGCGTCATGGACGTCGCCAAGGCGCTCAGCGACGCGAGCATCGTCCTCGACGTGCTCACCATCGCCACGACGCGCTCCCGCGACCTCCTGAGCCTCGCCAAGCTCACGGGCGGCTACGCCATCGCGCCCGCGTCGCTCGAGGACGGCCTCATGGGCATGCAGATGGAGACCATGCTGTCGACGGAGAAGCGCGCGGCCGCGTCGATCTCGAGCCGCGGGCTGTCCCTGCAGCGGCGCCTCACCGTCGCGGGGACCAAGGCCTGGGACGTCGTCGACGGCTCGACGGTGCCGAAGATCCGCCAGCACGAGGCGCTCGGCAAGCGCGCGACGTCCGTCGACGCGCTCTTCGACGCGCCGCGGACGCGGGCCAAGCAGGCGACGACGGCCAAGTCGACGCGGTCGAAGCGGCTCATGCGCGAGCTCGGCATGCTCAAGAACTCGCCGCACGAGTCCATCGACGTCTACCCCTGCGAGGACGACCTCTCGTTCTGGAAGGCCGTCATCGAAGGCCCGGACGGCCTCTACGCGGGCGCCACCTTCCTCCTCAGCCTCGAGTTCCCGGCCGACTACCCGTCGTCGGCGCCCTGCCTGCGCTTCCTCACGGAGATCCGCCACGTGAACGTGAACCGCCACGGCCGCGTCTGCCACGCGATCCTCGAGGGCGACTACGGCATCGACGTCTCCGTGCGCGACATCCTCTCCTACGTCTACGGCCTCCTGCTCTGCCCCGACGCCGAGACGGCGACGGACTCGAACCTGGCGTCGCTCTACTTCGAGCACCCGGAGCGCTACAAGCAGGCCGTCACGGTCCACACGAACCGCGCGAAGCAGAAGAGCCGCGCCGACTGGGAGACCGAGCTCCTCGGCTGAGCCGCGCCGACTGGGCGACCGAGCTCCTCGCCTGAGTCGCGCCGACTGGGCGACCGAGCTCCTCGGCTGCCGCGCCGCCGCCGCCTCCCCCCCCCTGCCCTTTTGTGTTTTCCTAAGCTTACGTGTCCCTACTTGGAGCGCATCTTCTCCTTCTCCTTGGCCGCCTCCTTCTCGGCCTGCGTGAGGAGCCGGCCCTTCTCCGCCGTCTCGTAGCGCTCGGAGTAGCGGTCGTTGAGGTCGTCGGCGTACTCGCGCATGATCTTCGTGAACTTGACGTACTCCTCGGCGACGTCGACGACGCGATCCCGGAAGCCGCTCGGCTTCATGCGGCCGTCGTCGTCGAACTCCTGCCAGGCCTTGGCCACGGAGCTCTGGTTCGTGCAGCAGGGCATGCGCATCCAGCGCGCGAGGCGCCGGAGCTCGTTGACGGCGTTGAAGCTCTGGCTGCCGCCGTTGACCTGCATGACGACGCAGGTTCGGCCCTGCGTCGGCCGCACGGAGCCCGTGTTCAGCGGCAGCCAGTCGATCTGGTTCTTGAACGCGCCGGTGATGCAGCCGTGCATCTCCGGCGAGCTCCAGACGTGGCCCTCGGACCACTCGCTCAGCGCGCGCAGCTCGACGACCTTGGGGTGGTCCTCGATCGTCGGGTCGCGCACGGGCAGGCCCGTCGGGTCGTAGCAGCGCACGTCGCAGCCCATGGCCTCGAGCAACCGCGCGGTCTCGAAGGCGAGCAAGCGGCTGAAGGACCGCTCGCGCAGGGACCCGTGGAGCACGAGCACGCGCGGCTTGTGGTCCATTTCGGCGCCCCGGGCGACGAAGGCGCGCGCGTCGAGGAGCGTCGCCGCGCCGGCGCCGTCGAAGAGCGGCGCGATCCAGTCGTCGCCGGGGCCGCTCGCGGCGACGCCGACGTCGCTCCGGTGCGCGAGCCAGCCGCCGACGCCGTCGGCGCCGGGCGCGAGTGCGTAGCCGTCCTCGACGGCCGACGCCGCGCGGCGCAGCGCGCCGCGCGCGGCGGCGCGCGGCGCCACGAGCGACGCGCAGCGCGTGAGGAGCATGATGGAAATTGCGCGGCGCATGGACCGCGTTGAGACGGCGATGCAGCGGCGCGCAGAAGGGGTCACTGTGGTTGCACAGACTGCGCCGTGCGGGCGGCCTCGAATCAAGGGGATATAAATCTAGATGGGGTGGCAGGCAAAACGCGAGGTCCTCCGACTTCGCGGGGCCGCCACCGGCGTTTTCTTTCTTCTTCCACGCCGCAGCGCGCGGGCTGAGTGCAACGATGGCGGGTCGCGCGGCGCGGCGCGGCTGCGGAACCCTTCGACGGGGCGGGGCAGCGAGTTTGGGCTGCTGAGGTCATTGCGGTGGCTCGTGAGCGCGACGGTTGTTCGGCGGCGGGACGAGAGGGCGGCGGTGTGAGTCGAGTGTGCGATATTTTTGGGTCATGTGCGGTCGGAGGCGCTCTATGGGTACCCCCGAGGGGCTCCAGGGCCTCATGACCCACCAGTTTTACGATCCCAGAGCCTGCACAGCCTCGGCGCCGACGGTATCGCGACGCAGTTTCTCGGGCAGCGTGCAGTCGTTCGAGGTCGAAGAATTTTTGGGTCAAACGATGCTCGAGCCCATCCATAGGTACCAACGAAGGGCTCTGCAGCGCCAGCAGACGGTCCACGACCATCATCATCGCGAACACGTCCAAGAGCTGCCCCAAAACCCCCTTCCTCGCGCGGCGCCAAACCGGACACGGCGCCCTCCAGCGCGCCTCGGTCTCCTTCCACCGGACCCGAACCGCCCGGACGCGTAAGTCTTGTCGCGGGCGCCTTCGCGGGGGAGCGAATACCGCTGCGGTCCGCCTGGGGCCGCGTCGACGACGGCGGCGTCGAAACATCCCCGGCCAAAAGTCGTCAACATTGCCCCAAAACGACGGGTTGCAGTCGGAGGAGCTTGCGCGGCATAATCTCGTTTAGCTGCCACCCCATACTATTTATTACCCCTTGCTCGAATCTCACCTGTGGCAACACGTCGTCAATATCACGGCACGCTGCTCGTTGACCTTTTATAAAGCCTCGCGATGTCGCTGCCCGACGAATCGCCCTCGCTCAACGACCAGATCGACGAGCTCATCAGGCATGCCGACGAGGTCCGACCGCTGCCACCCCTCCCCTTGATCGACTACGTCGACATGGCGCTGAGGCACATCGTCGCAAAAGAGGACGCCGAAGAGTGAGCACCCGACCGTACCACACACCGCCCGACCCGAAACGCGACGCAGGTACATCCTCGACGCGGCCCGCGGCGACCCGGCGCTCCTCGCGAAGAGCCGGGACCGCACGGCGCTCGAGGCGCGGCTCGCCGTCATCCGGGCGGAGCTCCGGGCGAAGGACGCCGAGGAGCGGGAGACGCGCGAGCGGCGGAAGGAGCAGCCCAAAAAGCAGAGCGCGGAAAAGTCGCTGCTGATCCTGCGGGGCTGCCTCGACGGGCTGGCCGACGTGGGCATGGCCTGCAAGGCCTGCGCGAAGAGCCACGAGGCCGACGAGAAGGTCGCCGCGCGGTGCCGCGTCATGGTCCGGGCGGCCCTGCAGGCGCGGTCCGACGCGCGGCGCGCGCTCGAGGCCGTGCTCCTCGGCGACTCCGTCGACGCCCGCGAGTACGAGATGACCCTCAAGGCCCTGAAGAAGCGCCTGGAGACGCTGCCCGTCGTCGCCGGGGCCTACGACGTCGCGGCGGCGCGCGCCGAGAGCCACGCGCGCGATTCCGCGTGCGCGGCCTACCTCGGCGACCTCGACGGCGTCGAGGCATCGAAGATGGCGGCGCTGCGGTCGGCCATGGTGCGCCACCAGGACATCGAGCGGTCCTGGGCCTTCCAGCGCGCGCTCTTCTTCGAGCAGCTCCGCTTCTCCGCGGGCAAGGGGAAACACGACGACTCGAAAGCCGTCCACGACCGCGCGTCGCTGAGCTTCGGCACGACGCCCTTCGTGTCCTGGTGCGACGTCATGAACGCCGACGTCCTGGCGGGCGCGCGAACTGCCTGCAAGGACGGCAAAGGGCTACGTCGTTTTGGGCGCGTCGACGGGGACGCTGTGCTTCTACGCGGCGGCCCTGGGCTTCGCCAAGGTCACGGGCGTCGAGGTGCTCCCGACGCTCGTCACCGTCGCCCGGGGCATCGCCCAGCAGCACGAGGATCTGGGTTTGGGCGACGACGACTTCGTGTGCGCGGACGTCCGCGACGTCAAGACGCTGCGGCCGATTCTAGCGGACGCGGCCGTGGTCATCCTGACGTCGTCGTGCTGGGACATCGACGTCGTCGACGGCGCGTCGGCGGCGCTGGACGACGCGCTGCCCGAGGGCGCCTTCGTCGTCGACTACGCGCCGAACTTCGAGGACCACCCCGCGTTCTCGAAGGTCGGCGCCGTCGCCGTGCCCGTGTCCTGGTGCCTCAACGGCGACATCCCCGTGACCATCTACCGGAAGAAGAGCGACGCCGACGCCGAGCTGGCCTGGGCGAAGAAACACGAGGAGGCCGACGCGCTGCGGGAGGCGGAGAAAGCGGCCGCGCCGCCGCCGGCGTCGCCGCCGCCGGCGTCGCCGCCGCGCGGCGCCGCCGCGGCCGCGGACGCGCTCCCGTCGCCGAGCCGCTTCGCCGTGGAGCGGCCCATCCCGGACTCGCCCGCCCCGCGCGGGCCGCCGTCGCCGGCGTCGGCGACGACGGACGAGAGCGCCGAGGACCCGGCGCCGATCATCGTGGGGCCGGCGCAGTGACCTACTTAAAGAAAATTACGCTACGCCGTGAGCGCCTCGGCCTTGTGGGTCCAGAACTTGGCGCGCGTGACGTCGAGCTCCGACGCCAGCGCGCGCGCGCAGGCCGCGGCCTGGGGCTTCGTCGCGTCGTCGCGGCCGTAGAGGTCGACGAGCGCCGCGTGGAGGCAGCCGCACGACGCGCCCCAGCCGCCGTCGCGCTTCGCGTCCTCGCAGAAGGCGACGAGCGCCGCGGCGGCGCCGGCGTCCCGCTTCGCGAAGGCCGTCGCGAAGACCCAGGACGACTCGTTCTCCTCGGCGCCCGGCACGCGCGCGAGCGCGTAGTCGACCTCGCGGCGGCAGACGGCGGCGTCGACGGCGCCCGAGAGCGCGACGACGGAGTAGCGGTGGTTCCAGGCGCTGTTGTTGTAGACGTCGTCGTCGTGGAGCGACTCGACGAACGCGAGCTCGCCGTCCCAGTCGCCGTAGGTCGTCAGGACCCAGAGCCGGTGCGACCACGCGTGGTAGTTCTTCGCGTCGCCCACGAGCATGTCCTGGATGAACGTGAGCTCGGGCCGCGCGTAGGCCCCGCCCAGCTTCTCGACGAGGGCCCGCCGGTGGTACCAGATCTGGTAGTTCTTCGGGTTGCCGCTCGCGACGTCGGACGAGTAGGCCATCTCGTCGCCGAGCACCGTCGCGTCGCCGCCGTCGGCGAGCGCGAAGAGGCACTGGCGCCGCACGTGCCAGACCGTGTAGTGCGCCGCGTTGTGCTCCAGCAGGTCCGCCGTGAGGTCCAGCACGCGGGGCGACCGCTCGCCCGACGCGAGGAAGGCGCGGAAGAAGCCCATGAGCCGCGCGTACTCCGCGGGGTAGGCGATGGGCACGACCGGGTTCGGCCCGTCGTCCTGGGCGATGGGGACCACGTCCTCGTAGGCGGCCATGTCGAGTGTCGGCTTCTGGTTCGGAAGCTGCTCGCCTTTGGCGGCCGCTGCTCGGCGGCGGCAGCGGCGGCGAGATCGATTGCGGCACCATCTCAGCACTCAAAACACGTTGCACCCCCAAAACTCCCGCTCGGTGCTCCGATCGGCCGCAATGGAGGTCCTTCGCTTGACGCTCGCGCTCGCGCTGCTCGCCCAGGCATCGGCGACGGCCTGCGACGGGTCGTCCGTGAATTTGACCAAGGCGGAGTGCGCGGCCTGGGTCGCGTTCTACGACGCCGTCATCCCGGCGCCGTCGCCGCCCGGCGGCGGGGCTGCCCCGACCCGCGCGCCGGCGACGAGCCCCGCGGCGCCGCCGCCCCACCCGCCGCCGGGCCCCATCGCGTCGCGCACGGACCCCTGCGCCGCGGGCCGGTCGCAGCGCGTCACCTGCAGCGACGACGGCGCGCACGTCGTGTCCATCGACCTCGGCGGCCGCGGCCTCTCGGGCGTCCTGCCGGACATGGCGGGCTTCGCGCACCTCGAGTACCTCATGCTCGCCTTCAACAACCTCACGGGCCCGGCGCCGGCGGGCCTCAACTACAGCGCCGTCGCCGGCTGCGGCTTCGGCGCGGACGGCGCGCAACGGAGCTGCTGCTTCCTCAGTTCGACGACGTCGAACGCGTACGACGAGTCCGCCGACAGCGGCGTCACGAACAGCTTCGACTGCCCGCTCCCCGCCGGCGCCGCCGAGCACTGCCACGCGGCCTGCGGCGCCGCGGGCCTCGCGCCGGCGCACGACCTAGCTTTGGTCGCGGACGACGACCCGCCCGCGTCCCTCCCGGGCGGCTTCAGCGACAAGTGCCGCGCGTGCGTTCCCGCGTCGCCGAAACAGTACCCCCAGTGCGACGTCCGCAAGGGCCTCTACTGGCACGGCGGTCACGTCGCGAGCGCGTTCTGCACGGACGTCGATCTGGTGGTCTTCGCGGACGCCGTGCCGAACTGCGTGGAAATCGACCGCCGGTTCGGGACGTCCCGACCAAACTTTGAAACTCTCTCGCTCGGCCAATTCGAAGTCGATTCGGCTGATTTTTGGACGAATCAATTGCTCTCGTCGAGTTCTCGAAGCACGGCGAAAGAGTCTGGTCCAAACCGTTCGATTACGCACACATTGAAGTCGGGTCGAAGATTTGAGTTCCACACAGGTGCCGAACCACGCGGTCTTCCTCGAGGAGATGCCCAAGCCCCCGGGCGGCGGGCCCCAGGTCGCCGACTTCTCCGTGCGCGCCTGGAACACGCAGTCCTACGGCTACCGCATCCCCCTCGAGCCCCAGTACACGGGCGTCTTCACGAACTACTCGGGCGCGGGCGCGCTCGCGATGATGCTCGACGGCGTGTCCATGGTTTATTCCGGTGTCCCTTCTTTTCCTTTCCTCGCTCCACATCTGTGTTCGTAGTACCCCATCATGAACCCGGGCATCGACGCCATCGACCCGGACCACGAGGCGCGGGACGGCCACGACCGGTCGAAGAACATGAAGCTCGACGGCCAGCTCGACTACTGCAACGAGCACGCGGGCCGGGGCTTCGACATCCACTACCACGCGGACCCCATCTGCATGTACGACGACAGCGAGTCGGGCCACTCGCCCCTCATCGGCTGGGCCGCCGACGGCTTCGGCCTGTACGGCAAGTACGACGCGGGCCACGCCCATCCCGGCGACCTCGACCGCTGCATGGGCCACTTCGGGCCGACGCCGACGTCGAACCGCAGCTACCACTACCACGTGTCCCCGAAGTTCCCCTACACCATCGCCTGCTGGCGCGGCAACGTGAGCGCCATGCCCCTCGAGAACGGCGGCCAGCCGGGCCAGAAGCAGTGGGCCTTCGACAACATGCGCGAGCGGACGGACTACGACATGCTCTACCCGTGCTGCGCCGACGGCAGCCCGGACGCGCGCGCGCCGGCCTTCGTCGACGCCATGCGGCCCTACGAGCCCGTCGACGAGGACAACTTCGACTACCGCGACGCGTCCGCGCCGGCCCACGCCTGGATGTTCGCGAAGCACGCGGACTTCGGCGCCGACGAGTTCGCGCGCGCGGACCCGGCGTCGAACACGTGCGCGGGCAAGTCCGCGGGCCTCGACGACGACGACTGCGCCGCCTGGCACGACGTCTTCGACGCGACGGGCGGCAACAGCACGTGGAAGGACTGCGGCGACCTCCGCGACGACCCCTGCGGCTGCCTCAACGAGAACGGCGAAGTCGCGTGCGCGACGTACTACGACGGCTCGAAGCGCGTCGTCGGCCTCTACCTCGGCGCCAACGGCCTCTCGGGGAGCCTGCCGGCGTCCCTCGCGAAGATGACGGCCGTCACGGACCTCCAGCTCGAGGGCAACGGCCGCCGCGGGCCGGGCACGGTCGGCCTCGGCGGCGTGCTGCCGCCGCTCAACTTCTCCCAGTACTTCGGCTGCGGCCTCGAGCTCAACGACTTCGCCTGCCCCCTGCCGCCGGGCGCCAAGGAAAGATGCAGCGCCGGGCAGCCAATGACGTGCTTGTAGGCTGGCGCCGCCTCTAAGGGAGCTAGGGCAGTCTGAGGGGGCGCTCGCGCGTTTAAGACGCGGCGATGCGGGCCCGCTTCCGGCCGCGGAGGCGCCCGGCGAGCCGCGCGCCGAGCTCGGCCTCGAGCTCGTCGGCCGTGGCGAGCTCGATGTCCCGGACGCAGTCCGCCGCGTCCACGACCTTCCTGACGTCGTCGCCGTCGATGCCGTACAACCCGAGATAGACCACGAGGTCCTCCAAGGGCGACAGGGGCGCGACCGGCGGCGGCGCGGGCGCAAAGAAAAAAGCTGGCGGCGCCGCGGGCGCGGCGGGCGCCGGCGCCGGTGCGGACGCCGGCGGCGCGGGCGACGCGTCGTCGTCCGCGCGCGCGACCGCTGGCTGGGGCGACGCGGGCGGCGCGGCCGGCGGCGCGGCGTCGTCCGCGAGCGCGGGCGCGGCATCACCTCCTTCGCTGGTCGGCGCGAGAAGGTTGCGGAACTTCTCGAGTCTCTCGTTCCACTTGCGCGCGTCCGATCCTAAATTCTCCGCGAGGTGCTCGAGGTGCTCAAGCAGCACGCGCCTTCCCTCGGGGAATGCGCTTGGCTCCAGGAGAAGCAGACGCTCTCTCAATTTCGTCCCGTCGTCCGTGAGCATCGCCGCGCTCATGTATTTCAGACGTTTTTGGCGGTCCGAAGGACTGCTCTCTTCCAAAATGCGCAAGCCGCGTCGCAGCATAGCGACGACCTGCGGCCGAGCATGCTTCTCTGAGACTACAAAAACAGCCGATGATTCCCTGATTAGTGAAGCAAACTCTTTCTTCGTTTACGTTACCCCCACAAATTGGACATCGTCCTCCACGATGCCGCCGAGCTGGCGTTCGACGCTGGCCGCGTTCGCGCTGCTGGCCGCCGCGGCGGGCGACGACCAGGTCTGCGTGACGGACACGGACCTCATCCTCGTCGTGGACCGGTCCGTGTCCATCACGAAGTACCACTGGAACTACAGCATCCTCGACACGCTCTACTTCTTCATCAACACCTTCGCCCCGTCGGTGGAGTCGAACGTGCGCCTCGGCATCGTCGTCTTCCCGGCCTTCGACGGCAAGGAGACGCACGACGACCTCAGCGGCGGCGCGGCCGTCGCCGCAAATTTGACGTACGACGCGGATTCGCTGAGGCAGCTCATCAACGCCACGGTCCGCCTCGACGACGAGTCCCACATCGGCACGCCGTGCGCCAACGGCAAGCTCCACGAGGGGTCCTGCGAGTGCAACCCCCAGGGCGACGACAACTCCTACGGCGCCGCGAACTCGACGCTGTCCTGGCCCTGCGAGGGCTGGCACTGGACGCCGACGTGGCAGGCGCTGTGGCTCGCGCAGCAGATGTTCCTCGATCTGGACGACATCGACACGACGGGGCTCGTGGACCACAACGTCTTCATACTGACGGACGGCGCGCCGACAAATGTCTACAACGATGACGATTACGACTACTCGCACGCGGAGAAGAAACGGAAGCGCATGCGGCCCATTCATTTGACGCTGAGCGCGGCGACGGACCTGAAGGACACGATGAGCGACCTGGGGGGCGGCGACCTCTTCGGCATCGGCATCGGGGCGAAGTGGTACGACTTCGGGACGTACTGCGAGCCCTTCTGCGACGAGGGCGGCGGGGGCCTGTTCGCGGGCAACTACGACGACGACGGCGCCTTCTCCGGCACCGTGACGCTCTACGACTTCGACGACTCGGACCTCTACTGCGGCGCGACCTACGAGGAGTACCCCTACGGGTGCGCGGACGGCGACCTGGCGTCGAAGGACCTCGGCTGCGACAAGGACTGCACCATCGACTACGACGCCATGATCTCGGGGCACACGGCGGCGATCAAGGAGGCGCGCTTCGCGGAGATGCCCGAGGTGGAAGGGCTGACCATGGAGGAGTTCCGCAACGACTTCCGCCGCGCCCTCTGCACGAGCGGCGACGACGACGACTACCACCTCGGCGACATCGACGTCACCGACTTCACGCCGTTCCCGACGGCGGACCCCTACGACCCGACGGCCGCGCCGACGCCGCGCCAGGCCACGCAGATCAGCAAGCCGACGCCGAGCCCCGAGGTGGCGCCGGTCCCGGCGCCGACGCCGAGCCCGGTCCCCGCGCCGACGCCGAGCCCGGACGCCGCGCCGACGCCCGCGCCGACGCCCGCGCCCGCGCTCGCGCCGGTCCCCGCGCCGACGACGCCCGCGCCGTCCGTGTACTGCGAGGACGACCCGAGCTGGCACGTCGAGGGGAAGCCGGACAAGGACTGCGCCTGGCTCTCGGAGAACGTCGCGAGCCGCTGCGGCGAGGACGACGCGGCGAAGCTCGGCGAGGACGGCACGCGGGGCGACCGGAGCTGCCCCGCGGCCTGCGGGCTGTGCGAGCCCGCGGCGGCGCCGACGGGCGCGCCCGCGTCCGCGCCGACCGCGCCTCCGACGGTCGCCCCGACGCCGCGGCCGACGCCGGCGCCGACGCTCGCGCCGACGAAGCTCCCGACGCTTCCCCCGACGGTCGCGCCCGCGCCCGCGCCGACGCCCGCGCCGACGGTCCCGCCGACGCCCGCGCCGACGCCCGCGACGCCGCCGCCGACGACGGCCGCGCCGACGCCGCGCCCGACGACGGCCGCGCCCGCGCCCGCGCCGACGGCGGCGCCCACGCGGTCGCCGACGCTCGCGCCCACGCGCGCGCCGACGGTCGCGCCCTCGGAGCCGCCGTCCCGAGCCCCCACGACCGTCGTCCCCTCCGCGCCCCCGACGCCGGCGCCGTCCACGGAGGTCTACCGGACGTCGCTCCACTTCTCCGTCGACGCGTGGATGCACTCCGTCGGCGACGCGGGCTGCACGACTTCGCTCACGGAGGGGTCCGTGGACCTCAACAACAAGCGGACCCTCGACGCGGCGTACGTCGCGGCCGCGCTCGCCGTCGACGGCTCCAGCGTCCGGGTCAACGCGTCCTGCGCGACCTGGCCCGCCGACGGCGCCGGCGTCGTCGACGTCGTCTACTACTACGACGACGGCGCGGCCGCCGCGGGCCTCGCGAACGACGACGCCGCGGACGGGTGCGCGGAGTCGAACGCGACGACGCTCCTCGTCGTCGACATCGCGGTGACGGCCGACGACTTCCAGGCCATGTACGACGCCATGTTCCCCGACGACGACGAGCCCACGTGGGCCTACATGAGCCAGGACCGCCAGTGGTCCTACCTGGAGGCGTCCATCGACGACTACCTCGACGGCGTCCTAGACGACGCGCTCGCGGGCACGGGCGACCTCGAAGAGGGCGGCGCCGGCTGCGGCGGCGACGTCGTCTTCAACCCGTCCGCGGCGCCGACGGCGGCGCCCGTCTTCAGCCCGCGGCCGACGTCGTCGCCGTCCGAGACCGCGCCGCCGACGGCGACGGACCTCGTCGTGACCATCGCCATCACCATGACGGGGCAGCTGGTCGACACTTGCGACAGCGACAGCATCACGATGCTCGACGGCACGGTCATCGACGTCGACTGGATCGAGGAGAACGGCTTCGACATCAACGACGAAGAGCACGCGGTGACGTCCGTCTGCGGCGGCGACGACTCGCGGCGGCGCCTCGGCGGCCGGCGCCTCGAGGACTCGCGGCGGCGCCTCGGCGACCGGCGCCTCGAGGAGTCGAGCGCGAGCTCCTGCGATAATGTGACGAACGCGACGGCCATGTACTTCTCGCAGCCCACGAACCACGACGACCTGACGAGCTTCGGCTACGACTACCTCGACGACGACGCGCTGCGGTCATACAACACGTCGGTGCTGTACGACATGGTCGTCGAGGAGCTCCAGACCATGATCGACGACGCGTTCAAAGACGTCATCCTGTCGAACCTGGCCTTCCTCAATATTTCCGTGGACGCGGCTCAGGAGTACTACGCCTCCGCCTCCGCGCGGCGCGCGCGGCGCGCGGAGGAGGCGGACGCCGCCTCGAGCTTCGGCTGCGTCTCGGGCACCACGGGCTTCGTCCATCCGTCGGCGGCGCCGTCGGCGCCGCCGACGATCTACGCGTGCGAGGACCGGCCGTCGTGGCACGTCGCGGGCGTGCCCTCGAAGGGCTGCGCGTGGGTCGGAGCGAACGCGGGCAACCGGTGCGGCGAGACGACGACCGACGACGCGGGCGAGACGTCGCTGGCCGCCTGCGCCGCGTCCTGCGGCCTCTGCCCGACGCCCGCGCCCACGGCCGCGCCGTCGGCGCCGCCCTCGGGCCGGCCGACGGCGACGGCGACGTGCCGCGCGCTGCCCGACGCCGCGGCGTCCGCGAACAACCTCGGCGGCGTCGGCCCGGACGACGGCGACGCGGAGGAGCTGGGCGTCGCGGGCCTCTACGAGCTCCAAGGCCGAACCCTGGGCCTCGCCGTCGCCGTCGCGAGCGGCTCCGCCTACGCGCCCGGCGACGCGGCCGACAACGGGGCCGACGGCGACGCGCTCCGCGTCAGCGTCGCCGACGGGACCGACGTCGCGCTGACCTTCACCTTGGCCTACGACGACGGGACCGACGTCGAGCTCCCCGACGGCATGACCTACGAGGTGACGATCCGGGACCTCGGCGCGGACGGGCCGACGCGGCGCGCGCGCGTCTGCGTCGACGACGACCAGTACGCGGCCTACGCCGTCGACGCGACCGCGGACCTCGACGTTACGGCGAGCGCCGTCTCCTGCGACGGCGCGCGGGACGTCGGCTCCGTGACGTTCTCCGCGGCGGCGGCGGGCGCCGCGAACGTCACCCTGGAGCTCGCGCGCGCGGCCTTCGATTTCACGCTCGCGACGGACTGCGACGGCTGCCCGACGACGGCCGGCCGCGCCTTCGCGGTGGGCCTGCCGCAGAAGCTCTGCGACGGCGTCTGCGAGGACGACCCGGACTGGCACGTCGACGGCAAGGCGGAGAAGGGCTGCGCGTGGGTCGCGGAGAATCCCGCGAGCCGCTGCGACGAGGGCAAGGTCGGCTGGGACGGGGCGTCGTCCGACGACGCGTGCCTCGAGGCTTGCGGGGTTTGTTACACGGCGCCGCCGACGCCGACGGTCGTCACGCCGGCGCCCACGCCCGGCCCCTCGGCGGCGCCGAGCGCCGCGCCGACGGAGAGCGACTGGTGCGACGAGCCGGACCACGTCTGGAAGTCGGGCGAGCACACGACGCTCGCCTACAACAACCTGGGCTACCACGGGCCCATGTACAACGACTCGCTGCCCGTCATCCGCGTCACGGACGTCTACGAGTACGGCGGCGTGCCCCTCGACTTCGAGGTGTCCGTCGCGGAGGGCAACTACACGCACGGAATCGTGCCCGACGACGTCGACGACGACGAGCTGATCGTCAACGGGCCCCAGGGCGAGACGATCTTGATCAACGTCATGGACGGCACGCAGGTCACGGTGAACTTCCGCCTCTTCGAGGACGGCGACCCGAGCACCACGCCGCACCTCGACGGCAACTTCTACCTCACGGTCTTCGACCTCGACACGCAGTGGGACCCGGCGAAGCAGCGCGAGCGCCTCTGCGTCGACGACGACCAGTACGCGCACTACATCCTCACGGCGGGGCCCGACGAGATCATCGTGACGCACTCGGAGGAGTCGTGCACGGGCACCCGCCGGAGCTCGTCGACGACGTTCACGGCGAACGCGCCGGGCTTCTACTGCGACAACCCGCCGCTGGCCGGCCAGGACGCCGCGGACCAGGACATCGAGCTGACGCTCGTCACCTGCGACCTCTGCGACCAGTGCGTCAACAAGCCCGAGAAGCTCGAGGGCTTCTTCCCCATCGACCAGCGGAACCGCAGCGTCATGTTCCAGTTCACGGACAACATCATGGACTTCAACCTGACGCTGGCCGTGGACTGCACGGACTGCACCTACGACATGGGGCGCTTCTTCAACCTCGGCGGCTACTCGAACATGTGCCCGACGCTCCCCTCGGCGGCGCCGACGGTGCTGCCCGGGAACCCGAGCCGGTCGCCGGTCGCGGCGCCGACGGCCGAGCCCACGGCGCCGCCGACGGTCGTCCCGGGCCGCCCGACCCGGTCGCCCGTCACGCGGCCGCCGACGGCCGGTCCCACGGCGCCGACGGCGCCGCCGACGGTCGTCCCGGGCAACCCGAGCCGGTCGCCGGTCGCCGCGCCGACGGCCGAGCCCACGGCGCCGCCGACGGTCGTCCCGGGCCGCCCGAGCCGGTCGCCCGTCACGCGGCCGCCGACGGCCGGTCCCACGGCGCCGACGGCCGAGCCCACGGCGCCGCCGACGGTCGTCCCGGGCAACCCGAGCCGGTCGCCCGTCACGCGGCCGCCGAGCCAATCGCCCAGCGCCGCGCCGACGACGGCCGGTCCCACGGCGCCGACGGCCGAGCCCACGGCGCCCCCGACGACGTTCACGCGCGCGCCGACGGTCCGCCCGACCGTGGACCTGTGCTACCCGCCGGACACGACCTATACCGTCTCGAGCACGGTGACCGTGTCGAGCAACAACCTCGGCGGCCAGGGCCCCCTCGACGGCGAGCCCGTCATCCGCGTGGACGACCTCATGGACTTCGACGGCCGCGTCGCCGACATGCTCGTCACCGTCGCCGAGGGCTCGTCCTACCAGGCGGGCGACTCGGGCGAGAACGGCGCCTCCTCCGGCACCGTCGCCGTGTCCGTGCTCGACGACACGAACGTCACCCTGAACTTCGGCCTCTACTACCAGGACGACGGCGCCCGCGTCGACGCCGCGGACCTCGTCGACGGCTTCTACCTCAGCGTCCTCGACATCGACCACCAGAAGACGCGCGAGAAGCAGGACGAGCGCGTCTGCGTCGACGATGACCAGTACTCGGCGTACGTCGCCGGCGACGACATCATCGTCATCAAGTCGGACACGTCCTGCGTCGGCGACCGCGGAGTCGGGTCGACGTACTTCATCGCGGGCAACGTGGGCTTCGCGTGCGACAACCCGGAGGACGTGCCATACTTCACCGAGATCACCTGCGACGACTGCGACCAGTGCGCGGAGAAGGAGGACGGCTCGCTGGAAAAGTACTTCCCCATCGACCAGGCGGCGCGCGCGATTTTATTCGCCGTGACGCCTGGCGTCGCGAATATGAACATCACGGTCGCCGTGGCCTGCACGACCTGCGTCTTCGACGGCGGCCGCAGCGTGCTCTTCGGCGGCTGGATCGACATCTGCGACGACCCGACGCCGCGGCCGAGCCTGACGGCGTCGCCGACGAAGACGCGCGCCCCGGCCGCGACGCCGACGACGCCGCGGCCGAGCCTGACGGCGTCGCCGACGACGACGCGCGCCCCGACCGCGACGCCGACGACGCCGCGGCCGAGCCTGACGGCGTCGCCGACGAAGACGCGCGCCCCGGCCGCGACGCCGACGACGGCGGACCCGTCGGCGTCGCCGTCGGGGCCGACGTACGCGCCGACGGTCGCCGGCGACTGGGAGTTCGCGCCGTCGCGCGTTCCGCGGCCCGCGCCGTCGGCGTCGCCGACGTCGACACCGTCGACCTCGACGACGAGCCCCACGGCGCCGTCGGCCATGCCCACGGTCTACCCCGGCGACCCGACGCGCGCGCCTATTCCCCGGCCGACGGCCGCGCCGTCCGCGGGCCCGTCCGCGGCGCCGTCGCCGTCGCCGTCGCCGGCGCCGTCCACGGCGACGCCCTCGACGGCCGCGCCGTCCACGTCGAAGCCGACCTACGCCCCGACGGCGCTCCCGGGCAACCCGACGCGCGCGCCCGCGGCGGCGCCGACGGACGCGCCGAGCCTCGCGCCGTCGACGGCCGCGCCGAGCGCCGCGCCGACCGCGCTCCCGGGCAACCCGACGCGCGCGCCCGCGCCGCGGCCCAGCGCGGCGCCGACGACGGCCGCGCCGTCCGCGGCGCCGACGGAGACGCCCGTCGAGTACGCCGTCGTCATCGACTACCCCATCGGCTCCGGCAGCATCTCCTCCTGCGGCAAGTCGATCGAGCTCGACGACGGCACGAAGATCAACAAAAAGTTCTTCGCGGAGTCCCTGGGCGTGGACACCGATGCCGTCACGGTCGAGGCGAACTGCGACGACGGCCGGCGGCGGCGGCTCCTAACGGCGAACGCGACGAACGCGACGGCCGCGCCGAGCCCGGAGAGTTGCAGCGACGTCGTCGCGAACATCAGCATGCTCGACAACGAGGTCGACGCGCTCGCGGGGAGCCGGCGGCGGCGGCTCGCGACGACGTACGCCAACATCTCCACCACGATCATGGAAGCGGTCGTCTCCCACTACAACGGGACCGCCGCGGTCACTGAGGCCTGCGGCGGCGTGGGGGTCGACGTCGCCGTCGTCTACTACCCGACGCCCGCGCCGACGTCCGCCGCGCCGTCGCCAGGGACGCCGAGCCCGACGCGGGAGCCCTACGACGACGACGAGATCCGCGTGGCCAGTTTGGGGTCCTTTGGGTCGACGTGCTGGCTCCTCGTCATCGCGTTGACCGTCGTGTTCTGGCCCGTCATCCCGCTCGGCGCCGTGCGGCCGCGGACGCCCGAGCGCCCCGAGTGCCTGGCGAAGGGCGGCTTCTGCGTCCCGTCGTTCGAGCGGTGCCGCGCGAGCCTGGGCGTGCGCTTCGCGCCGCTGACGCCCCGCTGCGTCGCCGTCCTCGCGCTCGGGATCCTCGACGCGAACTTCGACGCGGGCTTCTGCTGCGAGACGTACCGTGGCGCGGTGCCCTTTTTCGTCGCCGCCGCCGCGGTCCACGTCGTCCGCATGGCCGCGGCGCCCTACGTGCTCTGCCACGGCTACGACGACCCGCGGCTCAAGGGGCCCAGGATGCCCGGCGAGAGCCGCTGGCGCCTCGCGGTCCTCGCCTTCGTGTGCTGGACGCACAAGTTGGACGCGACCCGCCTGCTCCGGTCCGACGCGCGCCGCGCGCACCCCGACCTGGACTACACGGCGTCCATGCCGTCCCTCGACGCGACGACCGTGCTCTGCCAGGCCATCATCAAATTCTGCTACGTCGCGAAGAAGGGGCGGCTGCCCGCGATCGTCTTCTGCGGCTTGATGTGCAACGTGTGCGTCTTCGCCGAGTACCTGAGCCGCTGCTACTTCGCGGCCGCGGAGCAGGAGTGCGAGGAGCCCAAGGAGAGCTGGGCCGACCTCTTCCAGGACGAGGCCAAGGACGTCGAGGTCGAGGAGGACGAGGCCTACCGGGACGTCGACCTCAACGACGCGACGAAGTTCTCGGTCCTCCAGATCACCCAGGTCTAGAGAGAGGCCGGGTCGTTTTTTACTAAGTTCACAGTTTCTTTTAGCTGATGTGCTTGCTACGATCGCGCCCACGTGTCGGGCAGGCCGAACCTCGCGGCGCGCATCATACCTCGCCCGCGGTGTCCTTCGGGCTGAGAGGCTGCTCGAGTTCGAGGCTGTCCTTGTCCGAGGCGGCAACCGACTTTCTCGGACTTGAGAAGTTGCTATAACTTGAGAATCGAATTTGGACACTTGGGAACTGGGTGCGATAATCGCCGAGGCCGCAACAGTTCGATTTGAGAAGCAGGAAGCAAAACGCGGCACCGAGCACGCTGGATGCTGTGATGATGACGACGATGGACACGCCGAAGACCCAATCGCTGCCAAAGCTACCATAGGACGAGTCGTCGTCGTCGTCGTCGTTTTCTTCTTCTTCTTCTTCGTCGTCGTCGCCGTCGTCGTCGTCGTCGTCGTCGTCGCCGTCGTCGTCGTCGGTGACGTACGTTACCCCATCGAGCGCATTGCACGACTCGCCGATGCACTGGTGCCAGTCGGAAGTTGCATCATTCCGACGGAGCGCGTCGCACCCTTGGAAGCCGATGCTCACCGCCGCGCAGCAGCCGTAGCTCACGGCTCCGTCCGGGACGTGGGGCGAGCCCCAGGTGACGTGGCGGAAGCAGCTGTCGAGCGAGTCGAGGTAGGCTTGCTTCGGAAACACGGAGAAGTTGTAGAACGTGGGACAGGAGCCCACGAACGGGCCTTCGCGGCCGTAAAGGTCCATCCCGCTCGTCCCGATGATGCAGCGCGCCGCCGAGACATGCCGGAGCATCGCTGCCAGGAGCGTCGCGAGAAGGGCGGATTGCATCGTCGCGGTTGCCTGCGTGTTGCTTGCCTGCGTGTTGCTCGGGCACGGTTCTTGCATGCGCGATGCACGCTGCCCGGAAGCCGCTGCCGAGCAAAATCCTTGCCGCGCCGAGAAATGAAACGTTCAATTCAGTGATGGTGCAGTGACACGATCCCCTACCTCGCACTCGTCAGTACCCCTCCGGACGCACGACCTCGCCCCCGCCGCCGCTCGCCCCGGCACACACACCGATTTCACACCCTTATGCCACACCCGCTCCTAGGAGGACACGGGCTCGGGCATGATGGCCCCCGGTGCCCGCGTGTCGTCGAAGTCGCCGTCGGCGACGACGTGGTGCATCTCGATGCCCGCGGCCGCGAGGCGCTGGGAGAGCTGCTCGACGTGGTTCTCGAGGTCCCGCGCGCGCTGCTGCTGCTCGGACACCGTGGCCTGCTGGTGCTTGGCGCCGCGGGCCGACGCGTTCGTCGCGCGCGCCTGCTCGGCCTGGACCTGGAGCTTGAGCATGCGGTTCGACTCGCGCTGCTTCGTGATCTCGCGGATGAGGCCCATGTTGTTGGACATGATGCGCATGTTCTCCGCGTTGTGCTCGACCATGTCCTTGGAGTACTGGCCCTGGAGCGCCGCGAGGGACCGCTTGAGGCACTCCTCGTGGCGCTTGTACTCGCCCATGACGTCCGCGTCGAGCTCGTCGTAGGTCTCGTCGCCGGAAGGCTCGTGCTGCTTGTGGAGCGCCTCCACGGAGGACCGGAGCTGCTCCGGGTCCTGGATGAACTGGGCGCACTTGTAGAGCTCGCCCTTGAAGCGGCGGATGTTCGCCTGCTGGTCGCAGATGCGCTTCCGCTGCTCTAGAATCTCCCGCTGCATGTCGTCGAGCTTCTTGCGCAGCTCGCCGATCATGAGGTCGAGCTGGGCGTTGGACTTGTGGTACTGCTCGAGCTCGTGGTCCATGGCCTTGATCTGCGCCTTCATGTTGCCGATCTCCGTCTCGCGCGGCTCGATCTGGCGCTTGAGCTCCTTGATCTTGTAGTCGAGGACGAACTTGAACTTCTCGAGCTCCTGGTTCTTCTTCTTGAGCTCGTAGATCTTCTTCTCCTTGGCGCCGATGGTGTCGTCGCGGCGCTTGATCTCCGTCTTGTGCGCGGAGATCTCGCGCTCGAGCTTCTTGATCTGCTCCTGGAGCTCCTTCTCCTTGCCCAGCAGGCTCTTGATCTCCTCCTTCTGGTCCTCGATGTCCTTGGTCAGCACGGTGAACTTCTTCTTCATGATGCCGTTCTCGCCCTTGTAGCGGAGCGTCGCCTCGCGCTCGGCCGCGAGCTGCGTGTCGTAGCGGTGCCGCAGGTTCTGGATCTCCGTGTCGATGTCGTCCTCGAGCTGGGCCTTCGACTCCTCGAACTCGCGGTGGAGCTCCGACTTCTCGTCCTCGAGCTGGAGCCGGATCTGGCGGTCCTCCTCGAGCTTCTGCTCGAAGTCGTCCGTGAGCTCGGACACGTAGCCCTCGTGCGTCTGCTTCAGCAGCTGCTGCTGCTCGTCCCAGCGCTGCTGCTGCAGGGACCGCTCGTGGGCGAGCTGCTGGTAGCGCTCGACCTCGAGCATGATCTTCTGCTGGTACGTGTTCTCGAGCTCCTGGAGCTCGTGGTGGTGCTTGTCCTCCATCTGGCGGTGGCGCTCCTCGCACTCCATCTCGATGTCGTTCTTCTCCTCGCGCAGCAGCTCGTACTTGTTCTTCTCCTGCTCGAGGTCCTGCATGTACTTCTCCGTGACCTCCTTGATCTTCTCGGAATAGGACATGTCCTTCAACCGTAGTTGGTACTCGTTGTGGAGCTGGAGCTCCTCGATCTTGTTGCGCAGCTCCTGCATGGCCAGATTCTTCTCCTCGAGGTCCGACTTGGTCACCAGGATCTCCTCGGACCAGGGCATGGCCGCGGGCGCGAGGCCGCTCCGGTTGCTCCGGTCCTGGCGGTCGCGGACGTCGAAGACGCAGACGCTCCCGTCCTCGCCGGCCACGATCAAATACATGTCGTCGTGGCTGATGCGCATGCGCGTCACGGGCGCGCCGAGGCACGAGTACTCCAGGAAGTCGCCCGTCAGCGGAAACGAGTACGCGCGGACGCAGCCCGGCCGCCCGTCCTCGGACGTGCCCGCGAACATCATGTGCTCCGCGTGGGACAGGACGATCTGCCCTAATGTAATGCCGCCGTCGAGCTGCTTGACGGGCTGGAGGTCCGGCACCTCGAGCTCCTTCATCATGTGGTCTGAGCCGACCGCGAAGACGGACTCGGACGTGCCGAGCGCGCAGTTGTAGACCGTGCCCTTCTGGACGAACTCGCCGGACCGCTTGCCGTCGGCCCAGTCCCACTGGTAGACGGCGCCGTCCTGGCCGCAGGAGATGAGCGTCGCGTCGTCCGCGCCCCAGTACAGCGACCGGACCTTCGAGTTGTGGCCGCGCAGGTCGATGATCTTCTCGCACGCGTAGAAGTCGAAGACCATGATGATGTTGCCGTTCACCGCCGCGAAGTACTGGCCGCCGTTGGAGAAGCAGCACTCGCGGCAGAGCTTGATGGGCACCTCGCGGTAGATCCGTAAATCGTCCATGAGCAAATTCAGCAGCCGGAGCTTGTCGGAGAAGCCGACGATGATGTGGAGGCCGGACGGGTGCAGACTGATGGAGTAGGGGTCCTCGCTAAAGTGCTTGACGAGCTCGAGGTGGTGGTCCAGGTAGTTCCAGACGCGGATGGACCGGTCGAGGCCGCACGTCACCACGAGCGGCTTCCGCACGCAGACGTCGAGCCCCGTGATGGCGCCCGGCCCGTGGAAGAGGCCCAGCAGGGGCTTCACGTCGTCGTTCTTGACGGCGCCGGCTTTCGTGAGGGCGACGCCGTAGAGCTGCTGGTCGCTCGACACCGCGCACATCTCGTCCTCGGACGGCTTGAGCGCGATGGCGACGATCGCGCGCGCGGTGCCGTCGAGGGCGAAGGTGTGGGTCTCGAAGAAGGAGTCGCGGGGGTCGCTCTCGTTGCTGATGCCGAAGAGGTGGAAGCTGCCCACGCTCGAGCCCGCGACGAAGCCCTGCGTGATCGCCGCGAGCGCCGTGACGCCGCGGTCCTCGAGCGCGGTCGACAGGTGGCAGCTGTACTTGCAGGACTGGTAGAGCACGAGGTCGCCCGTCGCCGTGCCCGCGAGGCAGTAGTTCTCCGCCTGCTTGAGCCAGCAGTGGCACGTGAGCTCCGAGCCCTCGCCGAGGTCGACTTGGGTGGAGGGCATGAACCGGAGCTCCTCCGGCGACGCGCGCGCGAAGTAGAGGCCCGACGTCGAGCAGGCCGTGATGATGGAGTCCAGCGGCGAGAAGAGGCACTCGAAGTAGACGGAGCCCGGCGCGCCCTCCTGGAGCGCGGCCGTCGCCGACACCTTGCCCTTGGCCCAGCGCCACGTCACGAGGCTCGGCGTCGCGCCGTCGCCCGTGATGGCCACCAGGGTCTCGTTGTCCTGGCTGAAGCAGATGTTCGCGTAGCGCGAGCACGACGCGTCGGGCTGGCTCAGGTTCTTCCGCTTCCGCAGCGTCCGCAAATCGTAGACGACGATCGACGCGCGGTCCGCCTTCTCCGCGACGGCGATGAAGCGCTTCGACGGGCAGAGCGCGATGGCGCTGAAGCCCTGGGCCTCGCTCGAGCCGGCGATGAAGCGCTGCTGCTTCTCGCTCGAGTTGTAGAGCACGACCGTGTGGCCCACGCTGTAGACGACCGTCGAGTCGTCGTGGAAGTGGACGCAGCCCTTGACGCCCGCCGCGTTGACGCCCCAGATGAAGCGGTGCGACAGCGCCATGATCGGTCGCCGGCCCGCGCGGAGCCGCGCCGCGGAGCGACAACCGCCGACGGAGGCGGCGGCCCAACACAAGCTCCGGTTATAGCGCTAGATTGCAAAGATGTTTAACAAAGGCAACGAATCCTTTTTAGAATATTATTTGGGCAGCCCCGATGGCCGTCCGCAGATCGGGGCGCAGGAAGCCCCGCCGGCTCCCCGCCGAGCTCTGGGCCCGGGTCCTCGACGCGGCCTACGCGACGAATTTGGTCGACCTCGAGCCGCTGCGGCTCATCTCCGTCGAGTGGCGGAACGTGATCCTCGAGGCCGCGCGGGCGGCCGCGGCGCTCGACGAGGCGGAGAGCGTAGACTTTCTGCGTCGTCGCTGGGCATGCGGCGCCGTCGGCCGCGCGCACGCGCCGGCGCTGCTTCGCATCGCCGCGGGGCCGCCGCCCGCGAATCTATGCGATCCGGGCCCGCGGTATCGCGAGGATTCCGACGATGAAAGCATCGCATCGAATATGATCCGCGTGCGGCCTATCGTGGATCCCTACGAAGGCAGTCCTAGGCTCTACCGAGCCATGGATGATGCGCGTTTTAGCTTCGGTCTTCGCCGAAGAGCGGCGATCAAGGCGCTCGCGGCCGTCGTACAGCGCGGCGACTGCGCCGACCACGTTGGCGCGGCGGCAGTGCCGACGCTCATGGGCGCGCTCGACGAATGCGCGTTGTGTGGAGGCGGAGAAACATCATTCCAGGCTCGGTGGACCATCTTGTGTCCGCGGTGCGACGCGCGCGACCGAGCTGAGAAGGCAGATAGCACAGGGTGGGAAAGTCGCCGCAAGCGACTCACATCATGCGTGGGTGCTACATATTCAGCAGCCATTGACGCTCTCGGCCGCTTCGGGGCGAGCGCCTCTTCAGCGTTGCCGATGCTCCTCCATCTGCTCGGAGCCGAGTGCGACCCGGATGCTCGGCACACTGCGCAGCAACTCGAGTATAACCGTCGCAATCTCGCCGACGCCATTATCGCGATCAGCGCCGGAGCCGCTCCCGACGTTCGGCAATCTCACCGCGGCGCGCTTTGCGATCAGATGGCGTCTCACGAGTGGTATGCCAATGCCGGCGAGACATACCTTGTCTGGAAAGACGCTGTTGACCGCGTTCTTCTGGACTTGTCATTCGTGACAGGCGTCCTGGAGCCAGCCTGAGACTAGATCATCAACCCTCTGTTCCCCTCTGTGATCCACATATACCCGGCCCCTGCGTTTGCCAGTCGTAAACTACACGGCTATAGAAGATACTACTACACAGGAGAGGCGAAGCGAGGGCGGGCGTCGGGCCTGCGCGGGTGTCGGCCCGTTTTTGACCCCCGCGAGCGACGGTCGCGCGCGCCGTTTTGGCTGTCTGCCGGGGGTTGATTATACGAGTCGATGTCTCTCGCAACCGCAAAAAGAGTTGGATGCTTGCGTCATCGCCGGTGGCCACGCGCATCTGCTGGGGTTCGGTTGCTCTCTCTCCGGGATCGAAGCGCTTCGACGGGACGCGGCGCGCGCGCGGTCGTCGGGGCGCGGCGCCGCGGGCGACCTGCGGCGGCGGGGACGTCGCGGCGCGGCGGCGCGGGCGTCGGGCGAGGGAGGCGGGGCCGGCGCCGTCGGAGTTTAATTAAAAACGAGCATCACGGTTGGATGGGTCAGGCCGGCGCGGAGGCACCGCCGGAGGCGGCGCTCGCTCCGGCCGGGGTGGAAGTGTCTTCGTCCCTCGGCGCGATCGAGAACACGCGCGCCGAAAGACGCCGGGCGCGGACCCTACAGGTCCTCGATGTCCCAGACGACGGCCGTCGTGCCCGCGCCGCTCCGTTCCAGCGCGACGACGTCCTCGATGGGCAGCTGCCGCGGGTGGTCCTCGGACGCCTCGAGCTCCTCGGCGACCTCGCCGAGGAGCACGACGCTGTCGCCGCGGATGACGTAGAGGCCCAGGGGCACGTCGCCGTAGACCGCCGGCTGCGACTCGTCGTCGGGGATGACGACGCGCCGCTCGTACGTGTCCTCGAGGACGACGTTGCTGAACTGGTCGAAGGACCGCATGACGCCGACGAGGTTGCGCCCGTCGCGCAGGATGATCTGCGCGGGGCGCGCGCGTGAAGACGTGGGAATCGGACGCGCGCGGCGGACGCACCAGGACTTTCTTGTCGAGCTGGTCGACGAGCGACGCCGCCGCGGGCAGGATGAGGCCGCCCTCCTGGGCCGCCATGCGAGCGCTGGGGCCGAGCGCTGGGTTCTCGCGGCGCGAAACGCGGGGCTTGCGGCTGTGGTCGCTGGCAGCAGAGGCTGGAGTGGCGAGAGCTCGATGCTCGAGGCGCTTGCCGCACTGCGCATTGTGCCGGGGCTTGGCTGCTGCGCCGCCGTCCGACGACGACGCAACACGCCCGAGCCGCCGCCAGGCGTCGGGCGCGTGGCGGGGCGACTTCTCGCACTGCCGCCGGCAACGAGCCGACGGGCCGCCGTCGAGAAATACGATCCGAAAAATCCGAAGCGACTAGTCATCCCCGCACCACGCTCCCAGGAGACTTCTCTTGGCTGCAAGGCCGCGCCTCTCGCATCGCACGGGCACAGACGCGAAAGTCTCGGTTGTTGCCGTTTTGCCCTGCCCATCGAGCTCTCGATCAAATCGCCTGGCGCGACGACACTGGCCACCGTGGGCACTGAACGCGCGCCGAACGCGCGCCGCGACCGCGAGGCCACCGTCCCGCGCGCCCGTCGCCGGCTCGAAGCTCGCCCACAGTTGCGCGCTGAAACGAACGCGCGCCGAACGCGCGCGCCGCGCCCGACGAGCCGCGCTCCCCGGAAGCCACGCACCGCTGCGGCTTTCGGCTAGACCAAGAAACCCCCCACCTCATGTCGATGGAGACGCCGTCGCAGGAGGCGCTGCTGCTCATCGCGGACTACCTCGAGCGGTGCACGCCCTGCGCGGGCGCCGCGGCCGCGCTCCGCGAAGACGTCGCCGCCCACGAGCTCCTCGGGCGGGAGACGCGCGCGGACGGGAGCGAGGTGCCCGTGAGCGTCGCGTCGCGCCTGCGGGACTTCCCCCTGGGCCTTAAGGAGGGTTTGCTCGAGGAGCGGCTCGTGACCGGGCTCGCGGCCGAGGCGAAGCCCGCCGAGCGCGAGGCGCCGGACGAGAGCGGCGGCCGCGCGCTGGGCGACGGCACCGTCGTCTTCTCGGCGCCGCCGCCGCGGAGTTTGTTGTTCGAACCGAACCGCGCGGAGGCCGAGGCGAAGCGCCAGGCGGACATCCTGGACGCGCGCGACCGGCTCATCCGAGACTGCCGCGCGCTCCGGGACGTCAACGCGCGCCTCCGGGCCCTGGACCTCGAGGAAGAGGAGGAGGCGGACGCGGCGCCGGCGACGCCCCGGCCGACCAACGCCATGGACGTCGAGCCGCCGACGCACGCGCTCCTCGGCGCCGGCGGCGCGGACGCGGCCGGGTCGCCGCGCGTCGCGCGGGAGAAGCGCGAGGAGCTGCTGCGCCGCGAGGCGGAGCGGAACGCGCTGCTCGCGAAGAAGGCGGACCTCGCCGAGCTCGTCGAACGGGACAAGGCCGCGGCGCGGGACCCGCACCCGCGGAGCTCGAGCGCGTTCTTTCCCGTTCCGGGCCAGCCGCTCCCGGCGTTCCCGCCGCGGCGGCCGCCGCCCGCGGGCTCGGCGAACTGGCGGCGATTATTGGGCCTCAACGAGGAGAGCCCCGCGCGCGAGCAGCGCCTCGGCCGCCGCGCGTCGCTGAGCGGGCACCAGAACTTTGCGGTGTACTCCGTCGCGTTCGACGCGTCCGGCGATTTCGTCGTCACGGGCGCGGACGACTACCTCGCCAAGGTCTGGCACGCGCCGTCGGCGACGCTCTGCCACACGCTGCGGGGCCACAAGGGCGTGATCTCCGACGTGGCCGTGAGCCCCTGCAACCTGTTGGTGGCGTCGGCGTCGGACGACGGCACGTGCCGGCTCCACCCAGGGCAGGAAAAGGGTGATTCAACGTCGCTTCAACGTGAGTGTTCCGCGCGCGCGCGTTTCGGAAACAGCACCCACGCTTCGAGAGCGCTCCGAGAGATGATCGCTCGTCCAAAAATCAGCCGAAACGAGCGGGAAACGACCGAGATAGGAGCCTTTGAAGTTGGGAATTTCGCACCCTTTTCCTGCCCAGGCTCCACCGGTTCAGGGACGGCGCGCCCGTCGCGGTGCTCACGCTCACGGGCGACTGCGGGACGCCCGCGGCGCCGCTGCCGCCCGTCGAGGCCATCGCCTTCGACGACGCCACGGGGCGGCTCCTGGCGACGGGGCAGAAGCACTGTGACGCGCGCGCGTGGGACGCCGCCGCGCTGCTCCAGGGCTGCGAGGACCGCGCGTGGACGGCGGACGGCGGCGCCTGGGACGCGCTGGTCGTCGGCGCCGTGCTCCCCCACGCGCCGCGGACGCGGCTCCGGGGCCTCGGCGCGCGCGGCGGCCTCGCGGCGACGGGCGGCGACGACGGCCGGGTGTCGCTCTTCGCAGGCGCCCGGCCCGGGCTGCGCGCTCGCGCGGGCCTGCGCCGACGCCGAGCTCGCCTGCGCCGCGGCGCGCCGCCGCCGGGCCGACGACGGCGGCGACGCCCGGGCGGCCGCGCGCGACGCGGACCGCGCGGACCGCGCGCTCGCGGCCGCGCGCGACGCGTGCGCCGGCGCCTACGCGCTCGCGGAGCTCCCGCGGCGGCACGGCGCCGCGGCGACGGACCTCGCCTTCTCCAAGGCCGGCGACCGCCTGCTGAGCGCGTCCGTCAAGGCCTGCGCCGCGACGGTCTGGTCGTGGCGCGACGTCGCGAGGACCGACGGCGGCCGGTCCGTCGACGCGTGCGGCGTCGACCTAAACGTGCGGTCCGGGGACGAGGCGCCGCGCGAGCTGAGCGCGGCCTGCTGGACCTGCGACGACGCGCTCATCGTGCTGTCGTCCTGGGCGGAGGCCGCCAAGTCGCAGCGCGTCCACGTCTTCGCCGCGTACGACGGCGCGGCTCTGCGGACCTTCGAGGCCCACGGCGACCAGTGCTTCGCGCTGGCGCCCCACCCGCTCGACGGGCGGCTCGTGCTGAGCGGCGGCCACGACGGCCGCGTCCGGGCCTGGGCCCTGGACGGCGACGCGACGCGGCCGCTGTCGCGCGACTTCTCGGCGAGCCTCCTCGACGGCGCGGCGCCCGCGTTCCTCAGCCGCCACGTCGCCGGGTCCGACGAGCTCCCGGCGGAGCGCGCCGTGTCGAGTGCCCTGGACCGGCTCCGCAACGAGTCGGCGCCGACGCCGCGCGACCGCGCGGCCGCGAACGCCGCGTCGCCCGCCGACGGCGACGACGGCGACGTCGTCGAGTCGTCGGCGCAGGCGCGGCGGCGCCGGGACCGCGTGCGCGCCCTGGCGTCGGGCCCCAACGTCGCGGCGGCGGAGATCTGGGCCGCGGCCTGGAGCGGCGACGGCCGGCGCTTCGCGTGCGTCGATCTCGCGGGCCAGGTCCACGTCTTCGGCCCGGAGACGGGCGCCGCGAAGCACGCGCCGCGGGAGCAGTACCTGGCCACGGACTACGGCGAGCTCGTCTGGGACGGGCGGCTCTACGCCGTCGACGCGGCGACGCGGCTCCCGGGCCATCTGGCGCCGGCCGCGCACGCGCGCAACGCCTTCGGCGACGCGCACGGGCGGCGCCCGCCGCTCTTCGACGGCCGCCACGTGCCCCAGCCCGCGGGCGACGACCGGGCCAAGGGCCTCGCGCGCGCGTCGCGGGCCCTGCCCCGGGGCCTGGAGGGTCCCGCGGCGGACGCCGCGGCGGCGGACGCCGGGGGCCGCGCGGCGTTCGACGCGCGACTCGCGGTCGCGAACGCGCGCGCGGACCTCTTCCACTCCGGCCCGCCCCTGGCCAAGTTCCAGGCGACGCGCCACTGGTGGCCCCGGGCGCGCGACGTGCCCGAGCGCGACGAGCCGCGCGTGCTCGCGCCGCCGGCGCCGGCGGCGACGAC